CTTCGGATGGATATAAGACTCTCACTTAAAAGACTTTAGTCTTGTGACTACGATGGCACTATAGGACCGATTTGCTAATATCTGCAAGTGGGGTCGCCACCAACCAGCTCATGTAGCAGATCGAGGATATGCGTACTACTATTATTGCTACGGGTCGGACTTTTCAAGGAATGGTCTGCGTATATACGGAGTGGGCATGCCTTGTTCTTGTTGGCCAATCTGCTCTTCTGGATTTTGGCCTGAATCATTAATCATGGCACATCACATTGCTGGAAACATTCGCGCTACGAGTTACTGCGAGAAGCTATGCAGCCTAGGCTCGGCCCTCTTTTTATACATCAAAGCCTTCCTCTCTTTTTTGAGGGCCTCAGCCTCCTCTCCCTCCACCACACGGATGATAGCCTGATCATCATCCTGGAACCCATCCTTTTCTGCCTTCGAACGAATCGTATACAACGTTCCCGTCGGGGCCCAATAGACGAAGTACCCATTCCCAGCACATTTGCCTGCAGGTGCACCACACACATATGCACATGAAGCACACACACCAACCCACACATACATGTGCGAACATTGCGAACACGATATATCGATGGAGTCTGTTCGACACGAAGTGCATCCAAGTGCCTGTAGGCCGAATTTTGGCTTCTTTCATCCAGCCAGACGAATACACCGAAATGCATTCTTTCGTAATCTTCTTCCTTAGTTCGAGCCAGTTTGCAGGTAAATCCTCTAGTCCCTCTACTCACAGCACTCCGGCTCCGTCCCAGTGTCGCAGGGCCTTTCTTTGGCGCAGCTGCAGCTTTCTTGGCCCGCTCATTCTTAATGAGGTCCAGCTGTTCTTGCGGAGTCAAGATAGGGTGATTCATACTCTCCAAGGCAGCTTTCTGAACTTTATTAATATCTGCAGCAGGCAAGCCAGATGCTCTGAAGGAGGATGGGACAAACTCGGGCCCGTCCATTTTCTCCTCCTGCAGGCTACCGATACCGACCATGGAAATCACATATGATAACATATGCATGCATGCACATAACTGTCCTTCTTGGTGTCATGGCCATCATCTTCATCATCATCTGCAAAGTCCAGCTGTCGCTTCGAGGAGCCAGGAGCAACGCTAGCATCATCCATATTGATTGATCTAGCATGGATCACCAAATCTTCCAAGAAGGCAAACTCGTCTTCGCTTGCCCCAGACTCGGCCCCAGACCCATCGGACCCATCACGATCCCCAGCGGATCCATCGGATCCATCATCATCATCATCATCATGATTTTCATCATCATCCTTAGTGGGGCTTGCACCCTCAAGTGCCCCAGCTGCTTCTTTCGCAGCGTTCACCGGGGCAGGCTCAGATAAGACCAAGAGCTTCGCCTTGGCAGCTGCCTTATGTCAAGCACAGAATGGCACTCGAATCGCATCACATACATACTGCATATAGACGGTGTCGTAATATTGCGACAGAGCTTCACCATGCTGCTCCAACCAGTCATTCCATGACAGAACATCTTCGACCGGCACGGATCCGAACATGCTCTTCTCTGAATGATAGTCGGCACTCCCGATTTGAAATTCTTCGAAGAATGGAAACAGCTCATGGTTTTTGATGCTCTGCAAGATGTCGTCAACTACCTCCGAACTGAAATTCTCGAATCTCGCCCGGAAAGTAGCCTCATCATCCTCATCTGCAGAACCAAGATCCTCGCTGCAACCAGCAGCAGCGTCACCAGGGCCAGATGCCCCATCCGAGTTCTCAGATGAACGATCTGCGCCGTCATCATGCTCCTGATCGGGTTCTTTATTCGGTATGGGTCGACAGACCGATTAATTCATTGAAATTTGACGATCCTCGGAGGCATCGTGCATGACCAAAGTATCTTGATTGTCCATCGTAGGCTCTTCGGCCTGAGAGCAAGCAGTGGATGCGACTGGCTTCGCCTATTAAATTAAACGGATCCCACCTTGCGCTTGTTGGCCTTGCAACGAGAAACCCGGGCTGTGGCTCCAATCCTCTTGAACAAGTCGCAAAGCTTGGTCGCCTGCATATAGTTTTATGACATGTTGATCTAAAGTGCCCTAGAGCTCAAACTCACTGGAAGGTAATGCCTCCTCCGAAGCCCAGCGACTGAGGTTCACCCTTTCATCACCTTCCACACTCAAAAACGAGGACTGATGATCAAGATATATAAAAATTCCATGCACACGAACGGTAGCACATCGCAGCCGAGTCACACAAGTGGTACTGCTGCGCAAAAGTTCGTACAACTTCGGCCACATGTTTTTCGGGCGGAACCCTCGGAAAGTTGCAGGCTTCATAAGCATCCCTCATCCATTGGTTTCCGCCCCTAGTCAATCGCCCACCAGGGCAGAGGGAACACTTCGATCGCACCTCTTGCCTCAGCTACTATGAATCACAGATGCATGCTGAGACCTTTAGCACAGCCCACTTCCATGATCAAGTTGGATCAATCGGCCCGTGCAGCAAAGTGTCACATTCATCCGCGTCCACATCTCCACGTAAAGTTGTTGCAAATCTTCGCTGAGGTGCTTCAAACATCTAGGTGCATCCCCATTGTTTGAGGGAAGCGAAGCCGTCGAGGGCAACGACTCTAGAGAGTCTGCAACCATGGCGCGACAGTATTGTCGCCGAAGCATGAAAATGACGAGAGACTCTAGAGATATGTGACAACACTGTTGTTGGAGCATCAAATTTATGATCTCGCCCCCCCACTATTACAGTATGTCAGCTGCTACCGCCCGAATCCAAGAGTTTCTCTTCCGAAATGCGGTACATGCTGCGAAAAGTATGATGCTGAATGGCAGCAGTCGCTCAAACTTGCATAAAAAACACAACATCTGACGGCCTGCATGGTTTGTGTCACATGTCAGCATGCCAAGAGTTCCTAAGGCATTACTTCAAAAGTAACGCTTTTGAATACATTACTTTTCTTTGCCCGCTACAGAAAGCATTAATCGGAAGGTCCTGGTATAGGACAGCGTAGAATAAGAACTAAGAAGTGTGTGTGTGTGTGTGTGTGTGTGTGTTTGTGCGCGTAGTTAGGAACAGCAGTAGCTAAAATCTCCTAAACTCAGCCACAAAGTAAAACTGTCAACAACAATACGCACACATGTATTCGCAAACGTACATACATACATACATACATACATACATCCATACATACATCCATACATACATGCATGCATACATACATACAGACACACGTCATAGGTACGTATACGTACGTACATACGTACTTACATTCATCCATGCTTACAATCTCACTTGCTTACTTGCTGACTTACTCATACACATATGCATCTACGCAGGCGTGCATGCATGCGTGCATGCACGCATGCATACAACAGCAGGAGAGGGAGAAAGGGACATGGGGAGCGACAGAGAGAGGAAGAGAGGAAGAGAGAGAGAGAGAGAGAGAGACAGAGACAGAGGGGGAGGGTGTCGGGGTTGAAGGCTTTGGGTTTATTGTTTGACTGTTCAGGGTTCCGAGCGGCTCGGGGTTTGAACGACGATGGAAGAACAACAGGAACTTTAGGGTTTAGGGCTACCCTGCCTTTGCCAGCGGAACAGATTACACCCATAATCGACATTATCAGAGCCCTCTTCGAGCTTAATGTGAAGTCGTGATTAGTAATGGTCCCCTTACTTGAGCCAAACTCGGCCTGCACAGAATAATAAACTACCCCTCAATAGTCCTAAATTCTCATTCCGCTTCAAAGCTGCTAAGCTTTTGGGAAATATGCACTGCGACTACAAACTGACGCCCGACACAGAGAGGAGAGCAAGCCAACCCTAAACCCTACACCCTAAACCCTAAACCCTAAACCCTAAACCCTAAACCCTAAACCCAGCCCGGCCTGTGGCCTAATGCTTACGGCTTAGGAGGTTTAGGAGCCTCCAGCCTTCAGGGCTTCAGCCCCAAGCTCCAAACTCGTTTAGGGTTTAGGGTTTAAGGTTTAGGGTTTAGGGTTTAGGGTTTAGGGTTTAGGGTTTAGGGTTTAGGGTTTAGGGTTCTGTATGGCTGCCAGATCTGCAGGTTTCTAATACAAACACCTTGAAAAAAACATCCCGTCAAGTTTTTCTAAGGGGGCCCTAAAAGTATATAAGCGAAATAATTGCTCAAGACCTATAAAAAGGCTATTATTTTACATACTTTTGGGGTCTAGGGGGTAGTATACGATAGTCTCAGCCTGGAGACCCACAGCAAGTGCGGAAGAAAAGTACCCCTCAATAGTGCACCGGCAGTTGCCTGCCGGGAGCCTCCAGGACACCAAGCAAGAATCCCTTTCCGTATTCAGAGCCATTCAAGGCCATAAGGCTTCTATATAGAAACCTATAAAGCCTCCAGCCTCGAAGCCCACAATATTGAGGATGAAAAGTACCCTTCAATAGTGCAGTGTGTTTGTGTGTGTGTGTGTGTGTACTTGTACAATTGCTGTACCAGCGACCACCAAACAACTTAGACTTCGACCTCGACCCCCCCAAACAACTATCCAGAGGCGACAGAAAACGACCTCGGCCACTATTCCGGATTGCGGATGATCGGGAGGCCGGGTGCGGGGGGCAGGGGGGGCATTAATCAGGAGATCACATTACAGCGGCAAGCTCAGGAGCTAAAGCCTTCGCCGCTGAGCCTACCTGCAAAAGCTCTTACAAAAGACGCCCTCTTAAACCAGTCCGATGAACACCGTAAAACCCTAAACCATGGACCTTAAACCCGTCAGATGAAAACCGTAAGCTTCTTTGCTTCGGAGGTACCCCATGCAAGACCTCAAACCCCGGAACCCAAAGCAGCCTCAACCTCCAGACTCCCGTAGTAATCATGATAGTAATAAAGAGAAATAGTAATCGCCATACCACTAGTAATAATTATAACAACACTAGCAGTAACAATAGCAATCAAAATAATAATAGTCATACGACTAGATGCTGATAATAGCAAAAGTAGTGGTACATTCGTAATGTAATATATTACCTCCACGCCTCCTCGTTTACGAGCTCCTTGTTCCTGGTATCCTTGTCCTGCGTAGAGTGATTTCACATAGGATTGGGGCTTTTTGAATCCTGGGACATAACCCGAAACCCCAGGACCAAGACCCTATACCTTTCTGGCTTTTGGGGGTTCTCTGCGCTTCAGTCGTACAGGCTTTCGATCGGGCTTCAGGCATTCCGGGAAGCTGACGGTAACGCAAGTCCGGGGTTTAGGGCCTAGTGTAGGGTTTAGAGCATTTCGGGATTCGAATCTGAAACTACCGAACATTCACAACTGCAATTAGGCGCAGTTCCGATGAATAGCTTGGTAACACTCTCGAGCCATCCAAAAACCTCGAGACACATGTCGTGCGTGACATGGTTGAAAGTTTAGGGCTTATATAGGACGTTTATGGGCTTTTGGTTTGTGTTTTGTAAAAACCAACGTAGCTGCCAGTGTATAAAACGCACACGGTCACACGCGTGTAATCGACACTGCTTCATAGACAGGTACTGTACAGGATCAGCAAACCACGCATGCAACACGAGTCCGAAAGCACTCCGTCGCAGAAGCGGTTTGCAAAAGCGCCTCGCTGTTGTCTTTCTTCTTCCGCTGTCGCAGATGGTTCCGGTCCTGGATTTACAGCTTCGGCTGTAGGTCCGTTTTTCAGTTTAGGGCTGAAGTGCCGTGGCAGAAAGCTAGTGAGGACAAATGTCTGGGTGTGTCTTGGCCAGGGGCATCAAAGTACAAACCATATCGAAAGCAGCTAACCCTAAACCCTAAACCCTAAACCCTAAACCGGCAGCTAACCATGGCAAACCACTCGGTCTCTGTTCAAGTCGTGAAGCCAGAAGCAGGTACGAGGAGGTGCTTCTGGAGCTTAGGGGCCAAGCTTAACAGGGTTTTGGGGTATATTATCAATAGTTATAATAAGGACCCCACCAAGACCCTGTTCTAATTATTAAGGCCCTGCACCAGATGCCAACAAGCCCAAAAGCAAAAGGTTTTTGAAGTGATGAGTGTTCGGAGCCCTCCTCGGGGCTCGGGCAGCACATGGGTTTGGGGCACGGGGCGTGTTGGGTTTAGGGTTTAGGGTTTAGGGTTTAGGGTTTAGGGTTTAGGGTTTAGGGTTTCCGGACCGAGCACCACGTATGCTAAAGCGATTGTATGTACATGCAAGAGTGCTACGAGTAGACACCGAAAGCTTGAAAACCCCAAACCAAAGGCCCCTGAAGGAACCTCAGCTGGACCCTTCAAGCCCCAAGCCCTAAACCTTGAATTCTGAACCCTGAGACCAAAACAACTGAGCGCCTTGTCACTCTCCAATTTGATGTTGGCCGTGCTTGGCTGCTGCGGCTCTGATTTCTTCTCTTCACCTCTCGGATAATCACATCGTCGCAGAGTAAAGATCAGAGGTTTGGGTTCAAGGGTCTTCGTGCTTTCTTCGAGGTTAGAGCGGGCATCCGGCTCGGGATGGAATTTGATTTCCGACCCAGGCGCTGTCACTACCGCAGATTTGTCTGACTCTCCTTGGAACTGTCCTTCCTCCTCATGATAATCTAGTTCTCAGTCAACGGCGCAGAACTGCAAATAACGATCTCTATATCCATCTCTCTCTCTCTCTCTCTCTGTCTGTCTCTCCCTCATTGCATGTATAGGTACACTCTTGCACCCTCCACCACTCAAACCCTAATGTTTTCAACGCAGATGATGGTGCATTCAAAGACAATACCTTGCAATTTGGAAGTTAACGGCGCCCATGGCTTGCACACATTGGGTTCACATAAGGATATGGGTAGTTTTCTAAATTAGGGTCCCTTTTTAGGTCCCCAATATAATACGGCACCCTTATAAAAAGGACCCTAAAAGGGACCCTAATTTAGAAAGCTACCCATATGTCGGGCCTTGTGTCCTTCAAGTTCGCCTGCCTGCCACTCTCGGTTTGTACTTCCGACTGCCGACGTTTGCCAATGTCCAGCAATTTGTGGCAAAGTGACTTGTGGGTAGCTCTGCATCACAGTGCAAAGTGTAGGATGGATAATCTGTCTCTCGCCACACAAATGATAGGATCATGTTGTCAGCAAACTGTTCAAAATCCTCGGCTTGGGGCCGAGGGCATTTGTTGCGCCTTGAACTTGTGGCTGGCCAGAATCAATCTCAAGCTGTCTGTTAAGGTCCAAACCCGGAAAGTCAGGCCACTGCGAGTCTTCGTGGGATTCCGGCAAAACAAGGACCGCCTAGAAGTTGGAGCAACATTCTGGGGTTTGGCACAGGCCCAAAACCTGAGTCACCAACCCCACGCCAAACACGACACCAAAGTGCAAAACACCCAAACTTTCAGCCGCCAAGAACCCAGAAAGCACAGGCACAAATTGCGCAAAAATCGCTGAACCTATAACTAACCAAAACCCGAAGCGAAAACTCGAGTCATCTGCTGGACGGCCGAGAGCTACAAGTTGAGGACCGGTCGGACTTGGTGAGTTAGGCTTGAGGAGTCCATGGTGTATGGTTGGGGTAAAAGGGTTTAGGGTTTAGGG